TGGTTCAAGACAGAAAATATTTAGCTTAACCCTCAGGCAGCTCAAACCTTGTGCTGGATTAATTACAGGATAGTGCTATGCCCCCCACAGCAGCAGAGCATTATTTGGGAGGGGAGCGAAGGGAGCAGTGCTGAGCACTGGGGGCAGGAGAACTCATCCTGCCTGCCAAGATCCCTGCTGTCAGTGGGAGATCCCTGCGTGCAGGGGGAGCGGGTATCGGCTCCCAGATCTGCTGCGCAGCTCCCCGAGCTGGATTTCGCCTGCAGCGCTCTATTTATAAGGGAGCCGTTCCACCGCCGGAGTGTTTTATCCGCCTGGGGGGGGGGGGGGGGGGGGGGGAAGGCCTTTTGGAAGAGGGGCTAGGTAACAAAGCTATGCATTTCTCCTCCATGTTATTTGTACTAGTTAAAAGGCTCATTCTGCCTTTCATCTTGTGGACTGTTTTCTGCAGATATTTCCTAACTTTTCCCATGACGTTTTCGCCTGGTTCTTCAGAAGATTGTACGAACTGAAAGAGACTATTGTTTCTGCAAGAGCACAAGCATGTGCACATCAGCTAATCTGGTTGGTACAGGATTTTAGGAGTGGGTGTTGGACTGAGGAACAGGATTGGGCTGCGTGCAGCTACGAATTCTTGCAAACGGCGTGCTCTCTTATTCTGTAAATAATATCGCATTTCACTTTCTAGGTTCGCCATTTGTGTTTCTCCAAAGGTTGAACTCCAGTACCATGAGACGTAAACAAGGAAATGGCGTACAGGAAGACTGCAAAAGCTTTGGTTAGCAGAGATTGGAAAGCTGGTTCGGTTTTCAGTCCTGCACCTGGATAGGTATCAGCTACTTGATTGCGTGGAGACTCAGCACATTTATTTTTCACAAACACCATAGGTTTAAAATTGATACTTCATTGTCTTTCTTGCTTTCTCCTTCCCCATGTTTGGGTTTCCATTTTTGAAGTACAGTAGGCAAACAAGTACTTTTTAGCCTGGTGTTTAGGAGGCAGACTTTGGCAATCGAGATGCATTTGCCAGCTCTTGAGACACTGCAGTCTGAACCTTGCATTGACAACAAACCCTTTCTGCAAAGTAGTTTGCATACATCATACGATATGGTTTTTTTTTTCAGTCGGATGGTATCACCAGGGAGCAAAGAAACTGCCGGTGGCTGGTTTTGTTTTACACCCAGGATCTTGTCGGATGCAACCTTGCCACAGATTTGTTTCCCCTTTTGGGAGCGTTACCTAGAAGATGGTGCTGGGATAACTCCAGCTTCCTGGTGGTGACCCAGATCTCTGCTGGCGATGAGATCTCATCTCCGCTGGGCATGGAGCGAGAACAGCAGTTGCGTTTTCGACTGCTGATCCGCGGGCATGTTCCCATAAGGTGTTTCCAGGCTCGTCAGCAGCCTTGCAGCGCCTTGGCTATTGCTGCTGACGTGCCCGTGTCTGGCGGCGAAAGGCGGGGTTTTCTTTCACGGTCTGGTTTCATGTAGGTCTCGTAAGAGGGTGTGAGGCAACTCCAGGGTGTTTTTACATACTACTTTATGTATGTGTGAGACAGCATAAAAACCCTCGGAGGTTTTTTTAGCAGCAACAACATTGTATAACTGACAATTTGCTGTATCTCCATTTTAATAGAGTTTCCTTGCTTGGTCAGGAATAGTTGCTGCTTGTGAATGACTCCTTGGAACTAGAGGATGCAGGCTGGGAAGGCTGAGACTTGCTGGTAATTTAAGAATTGATGAGGATTGATACCGTGGTTTGCGGATGGATTTTGTCTGGCTGAGATGCTTTTTGACGGATGCACAGGAATTCCCAGGTGTTGATAAAAGCACTTGACCATAGCCAATTTTCTAAGAGGATAGGGAGGAGAGATTGTGAAGTGAGGAGGAGTCGGGGGTTTGTCTGGTTCCTTTTCATCTACGGGCTGTCTTATTTAGCAAAGAGCTTACAGCCTCACCCATAGTCACGTGTGCTTTTAGCACCTCTGGACCAAATTGCTGCGTTGGCTATCCTTGAAGGTTTTTCCGATGCTTCCAAGTGACACAACATGGGTCAGCTACCTTGCTTCACAGACCACCTCACTGCTTGCCCAGGTGATGTTTCTGAATTTGCACCTCCTTTTCAGCAGCTCATGGGTACAGTACAGAGCACTGGAACCAGTCTGTGAAGCTGCCTTTTCCTATCCAAGATTCCTTTTGCGTTAGACAGAGTCCTTGCTGCTATAGCCAGAAATATTTGAGGTGTGTTTTTGCTGACAAGTTTTCTGCCCTGCACTTGCGAGGATTGGATGTAGGGCAGTTTGGAGGGTTCCTAGCAGTGGAACTCCCTATTTACAGTCAGCAAGTTCATTAGAGCCCTAAATTATTTACCTTAAAGAATTCAAGCCCTGAATTATTTACCTTTAAGGTCTGTCTTCCTGCGTTGTGCATTTGGTTGACTGTAGACCTGTGCTCTGTTACAAGCTATAAATGTCTAAGGCAGCATAATATCTAGGGCGGTTTCAGCGCTTTGCTGTTAATTTTATTTTCATACACAAATACCTTAAAATACTATAACTACAATCAGAGTGCAACTCAGTGAGATATAAAAAGGATTTGTGCAGCCCTAATTTTTTTAAGTTTTGTGAATGCATGGACAGTTTTCGATTATGTGATGGCACCCTGCTCTTTTCACGAGTCCCCTGCCTAGTGCCAAGCGTACAGCTGTAGCTGCAAGCTCTGGGCAAGCACCCTATTCAGCGTCTTGGTTTTTCCCTGCTGTTCTGTGTTTGGCCCCAGGTTTTCATTTATGGCACACTACTCAAATCCTACTGAAGAAGCTTGTCATTTCCTCATGAACTTTTCTGTTCATCAGTGTCGGGCTTGAGGGTTTGACAAATGATTTGGGAAACGTTGCCACTTCTCTACAGGAAGAGACTTAAAACAAGAGGACAAAGGATCTTGAGGATCTCACAGCCTTGCTGCTGAGATGTCTCTGTACTATGTAGTATTTCATGTACCGGAAATACGGTTCCCTTTTGCTGCCAGTGTTCATTAGTTTTGCTTGAGAGCAGCCAGGGTTTCAGGTTGGTTAGGAACTCGCCATTAATGGCCATTTGGGAGATGCTGGGTTTAAATGACTGGAGCGGCGCTGCATCGGAGCTGCGTGGCAGCTCTCCAAGGCTCAGCTCATCTGATCTGTCTGAGCGCTCAGAGGGGTGGCAGGGAGCGGTGGGGTGGCTGCCATCTTCACTGCCAGCAACTGTCAGAGTTGTCTTGCGCTTATTCCGTAGACCTGATGCATGGCTCAGGTACGTCCCATGTGCCAAGCGCAGCAGGGGATGAGGGTGAAGGGAGCTGCTGCAGGCAGCGCTTCCCTGCCACGTTTCCTTCCCTTTTCAGTGCTTCAACTCATCAGTGCTCTCTCTTGCAACGTAGTTTTGATGCACCAAAGGAAAAAGGCAGGAAGCAAACAAATGGCAAATGGCATCCACTGGCATCGTAGAGGCTTGAACACGATTCATGGGCAGTGCAGCAGCTGCACAGCCACCGTGCAGCCCTTCATGCCTAACCAGGTTGTTGCTCTTTCCCCATCCTACCTCCAATTTTCCCATCTCCATTAAGTGAAATTTCTTGTTCTGACATATTTTTCCCCTGGCCCAGCTCTTGGCTGCTCTGCATTGAGCATAGATGGCTCCACGCTGCCGGGGCTGCAGCAGGGAGGTCACCTGGAGCAGGGGAGAGGGTTGATCCCTGTCCTTGCTCAGGAGGCGGCCCTGCCCAGTCGGGAGCAGATGCCAGAGGCAAAGGCCACCTCTCTCCTCCTCAGCCCTGGACTAGACTCTTTGCTTCATGTGGCACCTGGCTAGTCCCAGGTTTGAACTCTCTGTTCCAAACCTTGCCAGAATTTGTTGAGTCTTTTCCAGCCACTTTTTCGGGAATGGCTCAATCAGACCACTACAACCAAAATCTTGCAACAACACTTTTGGGCAGACATCCATGTCGGCGATGGACAGAGTATGCCGAATGCCCAAGCCTTGAGATCACAGGAGGGGTATCACAGCCGTATTCCCCACCCTGTGCTGCATGGCTGTGTTTATTTCATGTGCCCTTGTGGAGGTAGGCACGGGGTCATGTACAGATGGTTGAGTTGCATCTCCTTAAGTGAAGGGGTTTGTTTTGTTTGCTTTCAGAGAAAGCGATGGAATACTGATGTTAATGGTATTTCCAGTACTGAAAATCCAGTTACATTTTTTCTTTACTTATGATGTGTCTTCTGGCCATTTAGAGAGGCTGGTGGGGTTTTTTGAGGTTTTAACTTCAGTTGGGTTTCTACCATATGGGCTTTTTTCTTCCTTATTTAAGTGAAGTGTACATTTTGGTTCGTTGGTGTATTGGCAGGAGAATTTGACGCTGAAGCTTAAAGCTACTAATACGTGAAGTGAGGAGTAAACACAGGCACTAAAAGACCCTTTCAAGAATTTTAAGCGGAGTCACTACTTAAATAATGTTGTAGGTGCAAAGTTCAGGGAAACTGTATGATTAAGTAATTTACTGTCAATGTAATTTTGCAAGTATTATTTTTACATTGCTGCTGTGGTTATTAGTGGCATGTATTTACTGTTGAAACTGAAAGAAACTTAAGCAGCTCTCTCTTCCCCCATATTTCTGTGTTTGGTGGCACTGAGTATCTGCTTGGCATTGGTCCCGGCACTGCCAGGCAGGATGCCCTGGGGGAGGGGGCAGAGGATTTGGGCACGGGAGAGCTGCGTTCTCCTGTGCAGCTCTACAAGTGATGGGCTGTGGTACCTTGGCCGCCCCTCCAAATTGTTCTCTGTCACTTCTGTTTGGTCAATGAGCAATATTGGGGAAAGGACTTTTTTCTTGTTTTAGTATCTTCATGACACGTGGCAGAAAAAAAAGAAGACCTAAATATCTGCTGGGAAAGCCAACTGCTGTAATGCAAATAATAGATAATCATGTGCAGTTAATCAGTTTTCTCTTTTGTGTTGTTTTTAACACAGAATGATGAGGCAAGAGAGAAGTTTTTAAAAACAGAAAAATGTGATTGCGAAAACATCATTGTTGGCAGGAGGACTCAGTGGATTCAGGTAATAATGTGACACTGCTTTTTATTATGCTTTAAAAACTGTCTGGGTTTCAAGCTGACAGTGGCCCTTTGTCAGGGATTGAGGAGTAGAGGAAGGTGACAAGGTATAACAAGACCCCATGGCTGGCTGTTAAATTAATTCAGACCAGGCGAGAGGGTGTGAGTGCTCTTGCAGCACGGGTGACTGCTGAATAGGACAACATTGCTGGGGCTGCGGTAGCTTCCTCCCTTATGTCAGGCTATTAAATCTGAGGCTGTTCGTTTTTTGTTCTGTTTTGGTTTTATGTTTTTTTTTTTTTACCCTAAGAGATTCTCTAATTCAACCTCTTACAGCTGCATCGATGTAGGTGGGGAAGCTCCGTGCCTGTTTTATGGAAGAAGGTCAAATGATTAGCCGTCCCTTCAGACTGCACAACTCTGAATCTATGAATATTTCCCTTGAATTCCCCCTTCTAAAAGATTTCTGGATCAGAGATCATTATGTGCTAGACGACCCAGACCTAGACCTTTACTGCTTTAGAGGAGTACCGCTGATTGTTTCTGTGTGTGAATGAAGACAACTTCTTGTTGCATGGCTGTAGCAAACATAATGTGTGATTGTAAGCGGAGTACTAATATGTTTGCAACAATCTTATCTTAAAATAATGGACTTCAACACAGTTAGACCCTATTTTGTAGGAAATATAAGTTGCTAGCTAAAATGCATCTCTTATGTTTTTTCATCATTGTAATTATTTCCCTCACTGAGGGGGAGCAGAAGATGAAGGGAGGGAGTTTACAGTGCTAATTGCACTCCACATTCATAATTGGGGCCAGATCCTACCCTCAAACTTCTTAGGCAATCCCAGTGAAGTCATCAGGCTTTTCACAAGCATATGGGTTTTCCCCACGTGTATTTGATTCCAGGATAAGGGCCTACAGCGTGCTTTTTTGTGCACTGATTTCTCACATGTATGAGGAGATTTGAAAAACATGCATCTTTTTTAACGTAGCCTCTTGGTTTCCAGCACCGATTGGAGAGGTTCTGCAGTATTTTATCGAGAAGCAGATCAGCAGAGCTATTTGCCTTAGACTGAGCTGTTTTTAACTCAGTTAGGTACTAGGTGGGAAAAACACCGTTGTCGCTTTGCATTGCTATGTTCATGACCAAGAAGGATGTTTAAATAGCATGTGAATGGGTGTGGATTTGAAATTTCCTAGAGCCAGCTTCTTTTTAATATTAAATTGCATACTCCGGGAAGATAGTTGCTGTATCAACATTGGTATAATGACACATTATTAAAAAATCAATATCCAGTCATAGAAACGAGTCCTGGTATAAGCAGTTGGGTGCTTACAGCTGCGATTTGTATGTATTTGCAAATGTAATGTTTTTTTTTTTCTTGTAGCACTGGTAACTTGGATAAACACTGTATGTGTGACTCATTGCAGAGTATAAACTTATTTTAAAGGCGCAAGTGTGAGATTTGCTGAATATCCTATTGCTTGCATCCTTGAATACTTGCATTAGGTCACGATTAATCTTAAATTGGCCAACCCGAGAGGAAAATTACTACTGATCTCCCATAGGTGACTTCAGAAATAAACAGAAGGATGGAAGTGCTTTAAAAACATAAATAGTAGTTAGAATTCATAAAATGATAAAGCAAACATATGGTACAAGGTCTTCTAAAATATAACGCTTCAAAGCTTTTTTAATAGTTTCAGAAAGAGCTTGTTTAGTTATCACAGGAAAAGTAAATATTTTAATTCCTTTTTCTTCAGCTCGCTCTCATTCCATTCCTCTTTTTTTCCCCCTTTTTCTCCTTTTTTTTTTTTTCCTTTTTTCCCCCAGAATCATCTTAATTTGGTGGGATGGGGGACCGACACCCGATGTGCCTAGAAAGCCCTGTTTGGGGGCAGGAGATAACACTGCTAATTGTCCTCCTGTTGTTAGGTTCATTCTTGAAGTCCTTCTTGCAGTGTCGGGATGGACTTGATGTAATCCGAATTGAACGCTCCCTGTGCACGTGTGTGCGTGAGTGAGATGTGATGGGCACTGCAGCGGCTCCTGGGCCGGTCAAGAACACGCCTGTTTTTTAACAAGCATCGACGCTGAGGGATGCGATCCCTCTGTGTGTGTGTGCCTGTGCAGAGGTGCGAGCTCACAGGGGCCAGCACGCCTCAGCATCCCTGCTCTTCTGCCGCGTCCTCGGTGGGGTGGCCGCGGTTCCCAGCGCTTCGAGCATC